TGCTAATGCATTGGCATAAAAGAGCCGTACACGGTCAAGAAACCACAAAAGACAATCAAAAGAACAACTGATGGCGCGCTAGATGACTCGGATGTTATTTTGAGCAGATATGAAAACAGGTGTGGCTTCAAATTATGGCAGACAGTTTGCTGTGGCTTGTGCACAAAAAGCCTGAAAACCACTGCTTCAGGGTGTAACTACCCTGTCGCTGACGAGTCACCACTGTAAGAGCGTGCAATTTCCTCAGTGTCTCAGGCACACCCACCCATCATGGGATGAGTAAAATTTGGTGCGTAAAAGCAGACTTTAAGCCAAAAAACAGCAGAAGCAGGTTAGAAGTTTCACAGGGAGGCGGCTCGCTGTCACAGAGCTCAACTTTGTGGTTTTCATTTTCAATTTCAAAGTGAAAAAATTCCTGTTGGAACAGTTCAGAGCACCGCTGAAGGATGAATATATCTTACACCTGATTTCATGCCTTTAGATTTCTTCAACTTTCTTTAAATTTGGTGAAAATGTCTAAACAATGACAAACTTGTATGAATATTAGTTTAATGTACACGGTTGACAGTGAGGTGATGCTACAGTTTTAAGAGGGAATGGAGATCTTACAGAGATCAATAGAAAACATGAAGCCATAAGAGTTTTAGAGTACCATAAAAATCAGAAAAACAAGTAAAAATTTGCTTTTTTTCCCACTTTAACCTTTTGTTTGATTAAAGGAAAATAACATAACACGGGAGTTGCTCAAAGACAGAAAGCTAACAAACACAATAATTGAGAATGAATGTTAGCAATGCAAGTCCATCCATTCATTTTCTTCCACCTACCCCGGTCTGAGTTGTACAGCAGATAAGTGACAGACACTCATAAAGTTCTCTTTCTAAAAAGTCTCTAAGAGCTTCATACTGTTGCCTTTCCTTCCTCAGCTAGCAGGGGAAGTATTGGTGTCACCAGTTATGACTGTTTGGATGACGCCAACATAGAAGTGTTAAAAAACACAAACGCAGTCCCTCGAATTTTCACTTTGAATTACTCGAGCAAAAAAAAGATTTGGGTTATTTTTGGAAATGTGCAAACATTCAGCACACGAGTAGAGAAGGAGTAAAACAAACTGGGATCAAGTAAAAGAAACGGCTCTGTGCAAAAGTCTCGAGACACCCCTCATGCTTCAGCCATCTGTGAAACACAGTGAAGGCTCTGTAACAGTTTGACGGCAGCTTTGTCAAAACTGATGGAATTATGTAATCCCATTACTGGAACTGAAGAGCTCTGGATGTTCTTGGAGAAGCCTGGAGAGCTATTCCTGAAGACTACTTAAAGAAGGGACAAGAAAGCCGCCTCAGAGAGTTCAGACTGTGTTCAATAATAAAAGAGGTCACACCACATGTTGACTTTCATTTGTCATTCATTCATGCAAGCTCTCAAATTCAACAATGGCAGATGCAAAGCTTCAAAACCATAATCCACAGACCAGTAAGTGATGTCACGGTGGCTATTTTAAGTCCACGGTTTTTCCGGCTCAGCAGCTCCTCAGTGATTGAAATCTTAAACACCAAAAAACCCAGTGACACTCAGGTAACTCCCCCTTTGTTGGTTAAATTAGCACAAATTACAGAGAATTAATTGTTCTGTGTTAAATCTGTGTTGTACTCTGAAACCCTACACTGTAAATAGAAATATAAGTAGATGATGCATCTCCATCGAATTATTCCACTGTCCAAACTACTAGAAGAGAATGGATCAACTTGAAGGCAGCAATTCTACCACCAACTAGTGTTTTGGTGCCAACACAGCTTTTCCTTTCTTATTATTTTGCATATTTATAACTACATAGGGCGATCGTGGCTCAAGAGTTGGGAGTTCGTCTTGTAATCGGAAGGTTGCCGGTTCGAGCCCCGGCTCGGACAGTCTCGGTCGTTGTGTCCTTGGGCAAGACGCTTCACCTACCGCCTACTGGTGATGGCCAGAGGGGCCGATGGCGCGATATGGCAGCCTCGCCTCTGTCAGTCTGCCCCAGGACAGCTGTGGCTACAACTGTAGCTGCCTCCACCAGTGTGTGAATGTGAGAGTGAATGAATAGTGGCATTGTAAAGCGCTTAGAGGGTCTCGAAAAGCGCTATATAAATGCAATCCATTACTATTGTTGCTATTTGCTTAACAGTATTCACATTTATAACATTTATACAACTGAAAATGATTAAGCCCCTAATGACGATTTCGTAAAAAAGAGTGTGCATCACCCTCGGCCTCAGCTGTCTATGTTTACCCTTGTGACAAAGTAATTAGCTCGCTCTGAATTAGCAGGTAGATTTGTTAGCTAAGCGTTTCTTATTAATTAATAAAATATTGATATTTGGTGTCCCTGTATTGATACTATAGCTGTGTTCTATGTGACAGGAAGAGCAAACAGTACATGGAAATTACTGATGGGGGTTTAAAATCCTGACCCAAGATTCTTCTTTAAATCCCCCACAATGATATTTTTCACTTTCAGTTCTACGACGAGCAGAAGGCTTTCTGTTGAGATTACAAGGTTGATGTATTGTTACTGTAAACTTGTTAAGAAGTTACATTCAACTGCTACTTCAAGTTCTCAGAGGAAAACACGGCTATTCTTTTGTTCTCACATCTGACTGATGATGTCACAGTACATACTGCTGCACAATAATGCTCATATTCACTTAAAATATGACTCTGAGGCGACCTGATGACCCCTAACTTTGACTTTAAAACTTCTGTGCTTATATAGGACTATCATTTTTGATTAAGCAACAGAATAAAATAGAATGAATGTTTTTGTCATCGTACAGGTGTACAATGAACATCTGCCCGAGTGATGCATTCAAATACGGCACATCAAATAAAAACTTTATACAGACCCTACAAAGACTTCCTTCATGAAACAAATAAAACACATGTATAAATAAAAGAATGTCATAATTTAAAGTAAAGGGAAAATAAAAAGTATAAATTAAGATACACACAATACACACAAAGGAAGGACAAGAAGTACACTCGATTGGACACTCTTATCGATATTCCACAGAAAGCTCTGAGTCTAAATACTCGTTTCACGACCTGAACAATTATTCAAAACAAAAAATTATTCACTTCTTCTCTTGTAAGAACATTTGCATGAAGCCACAGGGCAGGCCTAAAAAACCGCCTAATCTTTTTAACACTAATTTTCTACATTGTATTTATTTCAGATCAGGTGTTCTGATTTCCTCTGGGCCTTCAATATATAATAACTTGTTTATCAAAAAAGATGGAAAACAGCCAAAATAAGCTGAAATCAAACAAAAAGAAAACAAATAGTAAAACAAAAAACTAAAGAAAATTAAACATTAATAAAATTAAAGAAAGAAAAGGGAAAAATGAAACATAAAGGACAAAAAAAATCTGAAAACACAATGTAAGAGCTGAATAACATAAGTAGCACAAATATTAAAAATCAAGTACACTAATAGTACAATAGATAAGTACGCTAAATATAAGTAGTGTTCTTGGTCCCTGTGCCACCCCATGAGAATCCTACAATCGCTCCTGGTAATATATTAATTTTGTACAGACAAAAGCTGAATAAACCCTGATTTTACAGCTCGTTCACCTCATGAATCACATCAACCTGGATCATTTAAGGTGTAATTTCACTGCTGTAAATCCGCTGCTTTTCATTTTCCGTACCTGGCCGTGTTTGGTACAGATATAATATTCACGGTGGTAAATATGCCTATTAAACTGTCACCAGTGCTCAATTCCTCCCCGTGGAGCTCAAACTGTAGTCACAGGCCTAAAAACATCGACCCATTTCCTCTCCCGCCTACATTAACCGTCTCTCCGACAGCCTGTGGCCCTGAACCAGGCCGCTGCTGCCCGGGTAAACCATCCCTACAAACACGGTCTGACCGTCTGGAGGCAGGAAAAGCGACGGATTTCAGGTTTACTTACACAGTCCGGCTCAGTCCGAGTCCAGTGTGGCAGCTGTCCGGCACCAGCGTCAAGTTAAACCACAAAAAACCCACACTGCTTCCGCTTACAGCCTTTAAAAATAAAAGCTTCTGCTGACGACTGCGTTACGTCCGTCTGGACTTCAAAATAAAGTAAATAAAGAAAACGTTTGCTTTAATTTTCTTTCTGAGAATAGTTTTGCTCTCTTTTTAAATTGAGCCTTTCCTACTCGATTGTATGGGATTACATTCAGTTTTATTATCTAAACTTAAAATACTTAAATTATTATTATTATTATTTTTTAATACTGATGAGATATTTTATTTTGTAATTCTGTTTTATTGCCTTTTTATTTATTTTTTGTTACTGTCTTCTTCACTGTTTTAGCTCCTGTAACACAGACATCTGATGTCATCTTACCTCATCGAAAACCTTTGATGAGTTTAATGCACAAAGTTTAAATGAAACAATTTATCTAATTTATGGGGGGAAATGTATTTTATTTAAAGGGTGCTAATGGGGAGACTATTTCATCTTTTCCTAGTTTACAGTGATTATGGTGGAAAAACTGCTCAAACACTGAGTAGAATGTTTTGTAAAATATCAAATTTCTGCTGTAAAGAAAAAAAACCTTAAACGATGTCATATTTTATTCACATTTCTTTTTGAAATAGCAATACAATCCAAGACAGACAAGTGAATGAATCAACATAGGTCTACATTTCTTTCTTTATTAAAATTTTCACATATTGTTTCCAGTGCTAATAATTCATAGAAACATATAAATGTAGTCCGAATTTTGTCTGAATGGTCACATTTCTGCTTTTATTTTGAAGGGAGAATAGATGTGACACACTCCTACTTGATCCTGATGCAGATTTCCAGCCAATCAACTGAGATGAAGTTTTTTTCCCTCCTCGTCTCTCGCTCTCTTTGCAAAGGATTATGGTAGATGCACAGAAACAATAACAGAGCTGTAAGCACGGAGGCCCTGTGCAGCAGGATGTCAGCAGGTCAGCTGAAGGACAGCGAGCACAGAGTCTGCGACGTGCTTAAGAGAGGCTCTTCAGCAGGACGTATTCATCCAGATCTGTGTGCACAGGGAAACGTTTCAAGCTGTGATATTACAATTCTGAGGCCTGGAACTAATGACTGTTTGTTTTAATGCTTTATGTTACTGCAAACATCCAACGTAAATGCATACCCCACATGATCTGTAGACCATTTCATACACAACCAGGGGACTTCCCACTGGCCTTAAATGTGTGTGTGGGTGTTGTTTCATTTGTTTCCTCGTGTGGATAGTCTCTTTGTGAGGACGATGAGGAGGAAGAAAACAAAACCAACACACACACACACAGAGGACTGAGCCGAATAAACAGGTGGGCGAACAAACGTGCAAACACACACAGGCAGGCGGTGTTTACAGTCACCTCTCTCAGACCTGATTGTCTTCATTTGTCTAAACTAAAGGCTGCGAGCACTTCTAATAAAAACCCTCCCTTCTACACAACATCTTCTTATCGGTCTGGTTTTCGTCTTTTACACTTCCTGTGTGAAATATTACAAACACAGTGAAACTGTGTTATATATATAGATACAGACCAGGACCTACAGCCTACAACAAAAAATGTCGTTTAACTTTGCTTCTTGTTCAAAGATCAGTTAAAACGTGAAGGTTTTCATCTTCTATACGTGCTAAAAACAATTCTGTGCTTTACTCAGTGATTCAAATGTAATACTTTATTATTAACTGAAAGACATAAAACTCCATCCTTGCTGCCTCCACAGGAATTAAGGTAAGTGCTGCTAATGACATTAATCAATCAATCAGTTTTGCGCCTTGCTGGTTTGGTGGATTCGTGTTAACAGAATGACAGAACAGAGCAAATTCACCCAAGACCGGAACGTGGAGCGCTCAGAGAGACTGCAACAAACTGAGAGAGCTACAGCTCAGACTACAAGCATGTTAAAGGTTCATGTTCATGCCAGTACAGTTAAAAACAGGAAATGAACATAACATGTTTGGAAAAGCTGGAGAAAAAAAAAAGAAAACATCTGCTGTCTAAAAAGAACACACAGCACCTATAAGCACAGTGGAGTAGGCACCATGATTCGGGCACCTTCTCACTGATTTGACCATGAACTCGTCTGCATAACAAATTATTTTTGAGGCAAATGTGAGGCCACCTGCTTCACAGCTAAAGCTTGGCCAAAATGAGGTCATGCAACAGGAAAATGAAAGCAGAGCAGCAAGTCTACAAGAAAATGGCAGAAAAAGAACTGATGTGGTGCAACCTTCAGAGAGCTGTGCATAACTGAACGCTGAAAACTTCTTTGAAGTCAAGTAGTGTGAGACAAAATTCCTCCACAGCAATAAAGTCGTGCAGACATCAATGACTTTGACTTACTGCTGCTGAAGGAGCCTCTACAAGCTGCTGAGCTGTGGGTTGTATTTAGTTTTTCACAGCACTGCAGAGAGACCTGTGAAAACTTGACCACACATAAGCCTCAAACCAACGAGAGGTAACATTAAGGCACAATCATCGCTTCATTGCTCAACTGTGCATTTTGTGCTCCCACCCCAAATATCCAAAATTTTAATTTTTCACTGATTTTTTAAATGCAACTTTGCTCAATATATTCTTTTTTTATATTTTCCTTTACATGGTGTTAGTATGAGAAGCTGTTACAACGCACATCTCTACCCAGAACACACTGACAGAAACTGAGACATCAGCAGCTGCCAAAGTGAAGGAAAAATAAAAAGGCTGAAGGCAGAAGAACAAGACGACGAAGCAGAAGTAGATTATTTGTAAATTCTGACATCTAGTGGTGAGAGACTAGAATCACAGTGACAAAATGCCTTTTCTTTTCTTTCACATCTACGGCTGGAAGTGTTGCAAAACTGACCCAAACTTCCCCAAGATTCCTGCTCAATCACAGCATAGAATAGCTAAAAGCTTTCTTTGAGCTCACTCTCTCTGTGGCGACATCACAGCAGTGATAAATCCATCACTAAGGCCTGATTTAGGCCTAACAGGAGGATGTACCTGTGTATATCTGTGTGGAAGGATGTGTGAGGGGGAAAAACATGTATTTAGAACCACTTTCGGGTCGATCACCATTCCTGCCTTCACCTACAGCACAGCCACAGACTGTAAATAGTGACTGAAAGCCTGACAGCCATTGAAGAGGCCCACAGCTGGGAGGAGCAGACCTACAACACACTGGAGAGATTACACCTGGGAACGCCTCTGTGTCCTGAATGTTGTTCGGTATGTTTTAGCTGCTGATATTATGGGTTTTCAGCCACTATGTATGTGTTTTATCACCTATTAAAAGGGCCCAAACAAGGCTTTCCATGTCACTTTTTGTCCAGAAGCCTAATATTTCCAGCTCTGAGGGTCTTAAAATCAAACTTTAACAGAGGATTAGTTGCATAGTTAGCCAAAAAAACAAAAAACAGACTCTATATTGGTTCACTATCACAAAAGCCAGGAGCAGAGATTCATTTATTCAGATAGTTTTGCTTCCTTTGGTAAAAGCAGTCACTAACACTCTGATCCAGCCCCTGATTTTACACCATGTAACAAAGCAGTTTGTGAAATACTTGACATGTGGACGCTGAACACCTCCCACTTCCTGTCCATGCTGTATCTCATTTTCTTCACATAAAAACTATTGTAATAAAACAAACAGGCTGCCTGTGAGTGTAATGTTTTGCTTCGTGACCAAGCTGTCTTTGTTAGTTTCATTTTTTGGTTGTTTGTTTGACAAATGGTTATTCTGTAACTAAAAGTTTCTTTGTATGCAGACGATGATATAATATACGTCAGTTTCAGCCCTTAGATGTTTGTTCTGTCGGCTGTTAGCAGACAGACTGTATTGCCCAGAATCCTCTATTTTAATCTCTTTAAGAAAGTTGATTGGTGGTAAGTCATTTGGCTGCACTCATCTTTCTCTTTGTCTGTCTGCCGAATGTCAAAGGCCTAATTGTTTTTAAAGAAGCCACTGCCAGTGCTGCTGCCAGCTGCTGTGCCAGCTCATTCTTCAGAGCTGTGTGAAGCCTGAACTCTCCAGGTGTCACTGCAAAGCTCTGCCAGGTTCTCAACAACCAGCTCCTGCTCAGGGAGCGTTTGGCAACAGCGCGAAGATCTGAAATCTGTTTATTGTCAGAATATCAAACCCCCACCTCCTCCCGGTACAGTAACTTTTGGTCTGAAGGCTGATGCTGGCACAGGGGCCACAGCATGCCACTCAGGGATTTCATCCAGGCTTAGTGCTCCTCAGTAACTGTTGGAAAGATTTTTCAGGGTCGCTGCCAACATGACCTGAATGGCCCGGAGAAACAGACAGCCACAGCGGGGTGCATGTCAACAAGTACTGGGACATCCATCCATCTCTGATGTTGTCCCCCCGTCTCTCTTCAAAAACTAGTTTTTCACAAAGCATTCAAAGGCAGAATTCTCATTTGGTGCTCAAAAATAATCATTCTGCATCTTAATCTGGGCCACAACCACAGTATGGACAAAAAGAAAAATTTTGCTTCTTGAAAATTCTTGTTTGCTTTATGGTAATAGATCTATGGTGTAATGCAGTAGCGTGCAACATGTAGCCTGCTGGGTGTGTGTGAGGCAGGTGTGACTTAGCATTAGTTAGGAACATACCGGATTGCCCAGTTTTTTGCCTTCTCCACACCTTCCTCCTTTTAAGGTGAAGTTGAGTCAGCATACCTGCAAGCTTTGTGTTCAAGCTGAAACACTTTCCACTTTAACATCTCCCACGTGTTTCTGCACGTGCAGCAAGCAAAGGGAAGCATCTTCAGCTCCCATGATTGTACTTTTTTCAAGCCAAACAAACCATGTCAGACATCAGAGCGGCAGAGCGTGTCTGCAGACAGCATGCTCTCTTCTTAGACATGCCACTGTGCTGCAATTTAGTGAAATGACACCAGGGGGTGCGCTGTGAGATGGCTCCTCAAACTGTGTGCTGAGCCCCACCGACATGCAGCAGGTGAGCCAAAGACAACCAGGGAGAAAAATAGGAAATCATTGTGTATTTAAGTTCAATAAAGGAGATTTTTGTGGCAAACTAACCAAAAAGGAGTTTGCTTACACTTATTGAGATGAAAGCTTTACAGCTAAAACGTCTTGATGCATTCTCAACCATCCGGGTAAGTAGATCCCAAAAGGTTGATTCTGTTCAACCTTTGGAGATTTACAGCTGAAACAAACATATTTAAAGCCTGAATAGTTTCTTTCTGCAGGTTCACCTGGATACTGGAGTTAAATGCGTGGTCTCTCTGACACAGCTTGGACCTCTCCAATGTGCTTGTGCCGCTTGGAGCATTTCTTTAAAGCAATTCTGTGGCGTACAGAAGCTTTAGAGCGTGCACTTTTCTTATTTATTACTCCGTTACTTTGCACTGATTAGCAGACATCTGTGTTTATGAAAGAAGCTGAACTTATCTGTCCGCTCTCTCATCCAAGAGATGCTGTAGATCTGATGTCCTCATTTAACAGATGTACAGCAGGCTCACACATGCCGCTGGTGTCTGTGCATGACTGAAAGCTGCGAGCATGTGGAAGGTGCAAGCACCTGCAGTTTCCAGAGCGCGGTGTAAGAGAAGTCTTTGGAGTGTTACAGTTATTTGACAGAGCTCCACCCACTCTGGCTCACCTGACAAACACGACTATCAGGAAACACGACTTCTTGACAGTAAAGGGAAGGAAAGCGTCACCTTTACACTGACGCGCTGAGCGGCAGCAAGAATACCGGGAGCACTGGGATTTTACCAATTAAAAAACAACGCTTGAAGGAAAGATTTTGACGAAGACTCGTTGGGAAGGTTTTGGCACTGCCTCCTCCCCGCTGTCCATCTCTGCCAGGTGTCTTTGTCGCTGAGGGGGAAATGGCTTTCCGTTCAGAGGAGGATTTATGCTGCCCTGCCTGTCATGACATTTTTAAAGATCCCGTCCTCCTCTTGTGTAGCCACAGCTTCTGTAAAGCCTGTCTGCAGAGCTGGTGGAAAGAGAAGCAAATCAAAGAGTGCCTGGTGTGTCGGACAGTGTGCGAGTGGAGCGATCCACCTTGTAACCGGGCACTGAAGAACCTCTGTGAGGGATTTTTGCAGAGTCAGACAGCTTCGTCGGGGTCTGACGGTCTCTGCAGTCTGCACTCTGAAAAGCTCAAACTCTTCTGTCTGGACCACGAGCAGCCCGCGTGCATCATCTGTCGGGATGCAAAAATCCACGCCGACCATCAGTTCAGACCCATCGATGAAGTTGCACAGGAACACAGAGAGGAGCTTCACACGCTCCTGAACCCTCTGCAGCACAAGCTGAAGCTTTTTAATGAAGTTAAAGTGAACTTACATCAAACAGCGGAGCACATTAAAGCGCAGGCTCTGCAGATAGAAAGGAGGCTTAAGGAGCAGTTTAAGAAGCTTCACCAGTTCCTAGAGGAGGAAGAGGAGGAACGGATGTTAGCTCTGCGGGAGGAAGAGGCGCAGAAGAGCCAAGTGATGAAGGAGAAGATGGAGGCTCTGTGTAGGGAGATGGCGAATCTTTCAGACACAGTCAGAGCCACAGAGGAGCACCTCAGAGCTGGAGATCCGTCCTTCCTGAGGACCTACAAGGCTGTGGTGGAAAGAGTCCAGCAGCACCCCCAGCTGGATGATCCACAGCTGGGCTCAGGAGCATTGATAGATGTGGCCAAACACCTGGGCAACCTGACCTTCAACATCTGGAATAAGATGACAGACATGGTCTCCTACAGTCCTGTGATTCTGGATCCAAATTCAGCCAATCCAGAGCTCATTCTGTCTGAAGATCTGACCGGCGTGAGGCACGGGAAGAGAAGGCTCCTTCCAGAAAACCCGGAGAGGTTTGAATTCTGGGATTCTGTCCTGGGCTCTGAGGGCTTTAACTCGGGAACTCACAGCTGGGACGTGGAGGTGGGAGACAACAAGGACTGGGAGGTTGGGGTGATAGCAGAGTCCATGTGCAGGAGAGAGTTTGTGGGCTCCACAGTGTGGAGCGTTGAATGCAGCCACGCCGGATACAGAGCGTACTCCCCAACCAACAAATACATCGCTCTCTCCATCACAGAGAAGGTCAAGAAGGTCAGAGTTCATCTGGACTGGGACGAAGGGAAGCTGTCTTTTTTGGAGCCTGATACAAACACACACATTCACACTTTCACACACATGTTCACTGAAAAACTGTGCCCCTATCTTTGCACCAGGAACCCACAGCTTCTGAAAATAGTGCCTGTAAAAGTGTGTGTGAGAATGCTGAGAGATCAGGAGGAGTGAAGTTACAGCTAGCTGGGCTTTAACCGTGTAAGAGCACAGCTTAGATCACAGATTAGAAACAGGACAGATCAAGGCACAGTCACGATTACACAAATCTGACATCCTTCGTCAACGTGCTCATAGCCCGAAACGGTGTCATAAAGCCTTGTCAGGGCGCGTTGTTACTGTGTAAATACTGCTGCACTTCAGTTTGCACATGCTGAAGTGCAAATATACACTGTGCTACCTTAGTTGACATATCGTAGTTTGCTACCAGGAGTGTTTCCAGGATTGTTCAGTGACCAAAACTGGAGCAGAAAACAGACTCGTGCAGATGATAAGAAGTGTCGTCAATAACATTTTACAATGACTCTTTACCTAAGCAAAAGTAATAGTAGTACAAACGTTTAAGCAGCAGATGGTTTTACCAACGTCTATATGACTGTGAAGCTTTATCCCCCACAACACAGCACAATAATTTAATAGATCTATATTTAAAAATGTGAAAAATAAGAATTAGCTTAAGCTTTAAGTGTAGAATATAATGGCTGTAAGTAGTAAATAGTAAATAGTATTTAAATAAGTTTCCCGTCACACAGGCCTAAAGTCAGTGGGTTGTCCACGAGTGGCTTACAAACTTTGCTAGCACGAAAGTGTTTTTAAAGAAGTGCACAGAGCTGCACCAGGATCTCCTCGAAATTGTTTGATCATAGCAGGTTGCCGCGGTAACCAGTAGTTTCCATAGAGAAGGCCAAATGTTCTGCCAACTCTCACACTTTTACTAAAGTTTTACTAAAGCTCGGAGAGTAAGTGTGAAGTTTTTGTGTCCTTAATGCAAACTCTAGTTAACAGCAGCAGTCTGCCAGCGACCGCAGCAACAACACAGAGTTCTGCTGCAGAACTGATGCTACCAATTTCACCTGGTGACAGCCAGAAGGCTCGAGCAACCAGGTGAAATTGGTACAGGTGAAAACATTAGAAAATAAGGAAAACTAGAACAAGAATCATACAAAGGTATTAATTAAGGAACGTTTCTTCACTTTGAGAGATTGTAATTGCTTAACAAGTGTGAATGTGTGTGTGAATGACTGATTGTAGTGTAAAGCGCTTTGGGGTCCTTAGAGACTAAGTAAAGCGCTATACAAATACAGTTTATTATTATTATTATTATTAAATTAGCATTTAGCATCACTCTCCAAATGGTCGGAGAATACAGATTTTTCCCTAGCAACCAGAGGTTGCCAGCGGGTCTCTAGGCCTGTGTGATTGAGGCTTAAAAGAGTTAAATTCCACGCTACTATTCAATGGTGTTGTACACTGTAAGATTAACAGTAGCCCGGCAGCATGGGTGTGGGTGGCATGGGCACAAATTATATTTCCAGGTGAGCCGGTGACACCCTCTGTGGAAACACTCCTGACGCAACACAGCACCAAGTGCGACAGCCTTCAAAAGGAGCAGAAACCTTTCAACAATAACTGTATCCTGATGATGGTCCTGATATTCTCCAAGGAAGTTCCAGTAACTTGAAGAGGTTTTATGCAGAAGCAGCACTGTAGTTTAAAGTGTTGATGAAACGAGTAAGTAAAGGATTTGTTCAGCACTGACTCCATGCACCGACTCCTTGCACCAGCAGGTGAAGTTGTGCCACAAACATCTGGTGAACTTCATTAATTTTGGAAAAGCAAAAAGAGAACACACAAAAGGCTTCTCCATTCTGTGACAACAACACCGTAGAACTGAAAATCCCATAGTCCCATGTTTTGGGTCACCACAGAGGAAATGCTCATTACAAATGAATGCAAGGTTGTTTGAAGTGATTATTTTTAATCTTTGATAAAGCATCCTTTCCTAATGGGAGGGGTCTCTTCCAGGATGACAATACAGTTCATAAAGAGCTCAGTGATCATATGCTGTGACCTTGATCGTCAAAGCACCAAATGGGGGACCAGAAGCAGCGAATCTTCTTAAGACTCTTTTATTTGTCATCGTTCTGTCCCTTCCTCAAAGAGACACTCATCACCATCACGAATATGGATTCTGACACAATTATATGAAGTATAACTACCATCTAGTGTTCAGTTGTTTCATCATCTTAATGTTTCTTGATGCTATCATTAATCTTATGTAATCTTTTTGATTTTCAGGGCATATCACATAATCAAAGTAGCGCTCAACAGTCCAGAATACAAACACAAAGATGCTGCTTCATGTTCTGAGATGTTATTCTTTCTATCGTGTTCGATGGATTTAGAGAGAAGAGAGGAGTGTGTTATATTTTATTGATAAGGGGAAGCTCATCTTTGAAACAGTGGACAAATTGTCACACAGTGTACTTTTCCATTTTGAGACAGGACATAACCCCCTCCACCCAGCACAGGTGTGACAGTGGCATTGTTTTCCTCCAGCTAACGAGTTTCAAGCCTCTAACAAGTAACGTGGAGACTGCCGTGGCCTCAGTCTGGTTGATCGATACCGCTCTCTCATGTGGGACTGCACCACGGGACACAGCAGAGGATATTGAATATTTCCATCCAGAACTGGGTCAGTTTGGGTTACAGCTGTTGCATGAAACACACAACAGAGGAACTGTTTGTGTTGCACAACAAATGATTTTGACTTTAAATGTAATCTTGCCAAATGTTGTACCTTAAATGAACACTTTGAAAATATTTACAAGACCTGTATAAATCATAGTAGGGATCTGTTTACAGAAGGCAACAATGAACACTGCTGCTTGTTCGATGCTGGTTTGTGTATTATTTATATGAACGGCTAAACAAGTTGCACTAATGAATTTGAGTATTTTTGCATTGATTTTGTTGCTTTTTATTTAAAAGCTGATTAACAGCCTGGTGAACAGTGGAAGATTGCTTTTTCAATCACTCTGGTTTTTCTTTTTTAAACTGTGACTACCAAGTAAACAAAAAGTAGAGTAGTTTTGCATTTTCAGTGAATTATTAATAATAAGTTACTAACAATACGTTAGTAATTCACTAGATTGGTTTAAATTATTAACTTGGTGATTCTTGAACTCATTTGGATTTTTTTTGCAGACTTTAAAAGCCTCTACAATTATTTGTGTCGCATTTAGTGTCTATAAGTGGGAATTTTGCGAGTTTACCTGAACGCAGCATTTGAAACGATAAGATTCATGAAGCCACTTGTGTGAAGTTTGAAACGTAACGTAAAGCAGTTCCGCTGAATGTAGAAAATGTAAATTTGCACAAAAAACTTCGCTTTTACAGAAACTTAGCAAAATAATAAATCCGCGTCACAGTGAATAATATATAGACGAATAGTTCACCATTAAATCCACATTTTCGAATTGCTCCGTCTTTACAAAAGCGTTCAGATCAGTTACTTTTAAAGGAAATAACGTTCACATGCGCAAATTTTGCGCTTTTACTTTGAAATGTCGGCCGCTTGACTTCCGGTTACAGTGTTTTCGCGGCTAGCTTGACACCGCGGGGGAGTCCAATGGAAGCCTTCGTCGCAGCCCGGAGGAGACAATCGAGTGAGATTTAACTCGAAAGCGGAGCTGATTTCATTAGATGGGTCTTTAAAGCGCGTCTTTTCTCAACAGCCTTGATCTGTGGTTTGTCACATTCGGGTTCAAACTCACCGATCGGCCTCTAACGGCGTCCGCTCGGCCTTGTTTATACTGTGCAGGGCTGCTTGAATCGGGGAAGCAGGCCCGGCTCTCCTGTGCCCGTTTAACGGCCGTCCTGCGGCTGGAGCGTGTTTTGTGCGGATCGGCCCTTTAGCTCACCAAGTAAGTGAAAATACCAGAAAACAGACAGCGCCAGTTTTAATGCAGGATATTCTCGGAGTTTTTCTTTTGGAGTTTCGACGTAACGCCATGTCAGTTTTTAGTTATTGTTAGCCATTAGCCTCGAGCTAACTCCGCTCTCTGTGTTGAGCTTACTGGTTATGCTAACGGCTGACACTCGACTTGCTTGAATACCAACTTCAGGGATGTAGAAGAGCTCTCACCACGCATTTAAATGGATACCCAGTCTGCTCTGCGTGATATCCACTTGTAAAATTTGTTATGTTTTCGTTAATTTTTATGCTAGCGACCAACCTGTGCAGAAAGCTGCAAATGAGCACGGTTAGCATGGCGCTAAGCTAATGGTAGCCTTGTTTTGTATAACCAGCTGGCTGAGAAGTACTCCGGCTGTTAGCTGGCACTTCTGCCCCGTGTTAACCTAAGAATAAACGACTTTCTTTTTCAAAGAATATGTTTTTTGTGAATTGTCAGTTTGCCTGTAAATAAAATTTAAAAAGCAGAGCTGCATTTTACAGATGTTGATTGATTCTGTGTGTATTTCTCTTGGCGGCTCCGGATCAAGTTGTAAATTACATTTAGAGAATCACATACATGTTCGTCTCGCCTAAGATGCTCTCTCTTTCTACTCTTTGGTCCTCCTCTTTCAGAGAATATGACCCAGATGCAACAATGACATCTAGATTTGGTAAAACCTACAGCCGCAAGGGCGGTGAGGGCACGTCCAAGTTTGACGAAGTTCTCTCCACCAAGAGAGGCACCCTGAGCACCAAATGGGGTGACACCACCTACAAGGCCAAGGTGGGCTCAAAGCGTGCTGGCGCTCCCAAGAATGACTCAGTCCTGGAGGTGTATAAGAGGCCCCGTACATGCGGGGACGGTTTGGATGACCCGTTTGGGTTTGACAGTGATGAAGAATCCAAGCCCGTGTCGTCCCGGAGCGGGAGCAAGTCGTCTCCCGCCAAGCCAGCCTCAGCAGAGCCGCCCCAGGCAGAACGACCTGGGGTGTCCCCGGATACAGGGAGCAGGTCCAGCTTCCAGGGAGCACCTAAGACCCAGCCGAGGGCGATGGACGACACCCTTCGGTTCTTCAACAGCAGCAGTGCCAGCACAGGTAATACACAGTCTGTTAAGATTGTCCTGAAAGTTAAATCTGCAGTGTGTCAGTGTAACGCCAAAGAGGTGACATTCACAGCCGTGCTAGTTTAAATGAGCCAGCTAGTAAACTCAGGGCACGGGTGTCTTGCATCGTGTGTCAAGCACATCAGGGTGAAGTCATTTAAACTTGGAAGAAAAGTCTATTAATGTTCGTTATTTTCTTCCAGCTGCTTCCCTTTCAGTTGGCAGTGATATCATTTCAGACACAGAGAAATCAGTTTCCCCGTTTGTACCCCCTCTCAGCCGTTCCCCGTCAGCTTGACTCGCTTTCAGCTTTCTGTGACTGCTTCTGGCTGCCTGCCAGAGATGCGAGCTCGCTCCTCACAGCGAGCTTTGCCCCAGTGAGCACCTCAGATGGCTCAGAGGGCTGTTTTCACACTGATGGTACACCGAGCCACACTGACGGGAAGCTAGCATGACACTGAAGTTAAACCCTGCCATAAACATGCGTATTATCTGCATACAAAGGCTGCAGATGTTGACTCGATAAATATGATAATGTCATTGATGAAACGGTTCTTTTTATAAAATAAAGGGCTGACGACGGCTTCTTTCAGAGTGGGATGTTTGTACAGTTAAACAAGTCAATAGCACGTGGCTGTGAATCAAAAGTACATTTAAGCTTGTCAGCTTACAAAGGGCTGTAAAGATTGTGAGTAACAAGCACATTTGCTGGCTTTATTACACCACAGGTACGCTGAATGTGCCACCGTTGTGTTTGCAGTGGTAAGATGAGGGGTATTGTGGTTTTTAAACAGACTCCAGCAAGGTTAGTTGCAGGCTGTTTCCTGTTCTTGAAGGCAGATGTCTAACCCTTGTCACTTTCCTCCTTTCAAACTCTAATAATGTCTTATGGGACCTACATAACATTGGTGTGGTTGTATTTAACAAGGATTTAATATGAGCAGAGACACGCCTCTCTCAGGTCTCCTTCAGCTAAGATGTCACGAAACACCTCATCCAGGAGGCATCCTGTCGGATTCCCGAACTGCTTTATCAGTCTCATGGAGGAGCAGCAGCTCTACTCTGAGCTCGTCACCCTCTGGAGTAGAATTGCGGTTCAGTGGGGTTAGCGTCTTCGCAGTCCACTGGCGGTCTGTGGATGGTCCGTCTACCTGCAGAGAAAGCTGTTGTCGATTGAGGTTGTGCTACACAGGTCTGTGAGCTACCATCAGTCAGCTGTGAAGAAGAGCAAAGTGAAGGAGAGTGTTAAAAACAATGAAAAGCGTCCACTGCAGCCACCATCTGCTTTTCACGCTGCATTTTTGATCTTCAAAGTTTTTCCCACGGACTCTGCCGTCGCTCTGTTCCCTGTTTTGGCCCATAAGAGTGCGCTGCCTCATATACCCACAGATATTCGCCGCCAGCATACAACTCATAGCTGATTCGAGTTACTGAAACATTTCTAGAAATTGCAGGAAGTTCTGTGATTTGTTTTCCCGCTCTTCTCCTTTTTTATGTCCATGTCGTCTGATCCTCAGCAGCATTGGGAGACTCCCAGATGATTACCTTCTTCAATGCAAATACAAAACAATCTGACCACATGCTAGTTTGCATATGTGTACATGCAAACCTGAATAATTACTGCTCATTTAAACACCATATATTAAGTTCGGTTTCACCAAACAGATTTTTCTCTGACAAAAAGCTTTCTGTGGAAACAAATGTCTAATACTTCATGTACATCATCTCGCTCACTTATTAAACCTAATACGAGTGCACGAATCGCCCGATACGCACAGATCACCTCACATGTCCTCGTGGTGCACAGATGCACGAATGTAGGCTTTGTTGACGTCCCAGTGTAAAACTGGGACCTCTGCAGGAGCCTGTAAAGCAGGGCTAGGCAACTCCAGGCCTCGAGTTGGTGTCCTGCAGGGTTTAGATGTGTCCTTGATCCAACACAGCTGATTTAAATGGCTAAATGACCTCCTCAACATGTCTTGACGTTCTCCAGAGGCCTGATAATGAACGAATCATTTGATTCAGGTGTGCTGACCCAGAGTGACATCCAAAACCTGCAGGACACCGGCCCTCGAGGCCTGGAGTTGCCTACCCCGGCTATAAAGGTTAAAATATTATTTAAATAAGCTGCTGCTACGTGCTGGTTGTTCTTCTGCTGGGTCAGTGCACAGCTCCAGATAGAGGGAGCGTAATGGTTGTGCATTACTGTGGATCGTGCTCTGCAGTGAGTACATGCAGCTAATCTCTGTACCATTTGAATATAGATGTAATCCAGGCAATGGAAATAGCACTTTGATGCTAAACTTACTGTTCTGTAATAACAGCAGGCTTACATTATTGTTAGCTTAATGTCTAATCCTGAACATTTCAGGATGCAGCAGCTTATTTAAGCCATGTATTAACTGTCACAGGCTAATGAGTAGTTTCTGTAATTGTTAACTCTGTTTCTAGTTGAGGGTCACAGGCTGTTCTGTTTATTTAGGACCGCCCGCTTTCTTTGAACAAACAAACAAAGAAAACCAATAAATCAGCAGCTTACATTTGTGGATCTGTGCAAAGCTGGCAGCATGAAATTTGTGTCCAAACCCAACGAGGACATGTGACGTGATCTGTGTGTGTCAGGCGACGCGTCCACACGCAGTTAAGCTTTTGTGAGTGACTGGGATGCTACGTTTAGTTTTAGACATTTGCGTTCAAAGAAAGGTCTTAGAAAGAGAAAATAATCTGATTAGTGAAGCTGAACTTCAGAAATTGTGTTTAAGTGATCAGTATTTATCGGTTAGTGGTTTTACGCGCAGTTAAATTGCATCGTAAGCCGCAGACGTTTACGAGTCCTCAAACGTCGCACACGAATCACTACACATATTTGTAAATCTTAGCTTACTCTTGTGGATCATACCGTAGCATTAGCAAACCTTTTGAGTCAAATTTCTCCCCATAGCGTTCGCACTTAATGATAAGGAAGTGCTTTCTGCGATGTGGTGACGACAGGTAACGATAGAAACCATCAAAAACTCGCCACTGATGTGAACAGAGGAGAGTACAGTTCAGAATTCAATTTGCAGGAGAAAATGTTTTAGCGGGATCGCTCAGCTGAGCTCGATTCTTCTGTTGCCACAGACGATCAGAAATCGGGCTTCTTGTGTCAACATTTACCGAGAGTCGGAGTCGGGGGAAGAAGGTGGTGGTGTTGGTGCAGATGTGCTGTTTTGAAAGGGCGCTCTGAAGCTGAAGGGACTCGGATTGTCCGGTAAACTGAGCAATTCGAAAGCAGGTGGTTAATAATCAGCTGAGCAAATGCAAAGTACTGTACTGCTGCAGTGTGAGGGTGAGTCACAGTGAAGTCTTTCTTCTTTTTAAAGATGCAGCTTGATTTTGAACTTTAATGAGAAGCGTTCTGAGAAGCTACACCTGTTCGTTTAGCAGCGCTGCTGCGTCATCGCTTAAAACTGTTTGGAGGAAAAAAATGTATCTGCCACACTTTTTTTTTCTTCTTAAGGACTTGTCCTGCTGGGAAAGTTCAGATACAATGAATCTAAGAAGAAGACTCTTAATGATTACATCCACTCTTATCTGCCCGTCACAGACGTGTTGTGCTCTCCGAGTTCAGAGTCACTTTCTGTGACGTTGCAGTGCTGTAGAAAGAATCCAACTTACTGGAGCTCACAAAGTTGCTGCATTTGAAGGCATTTTAATAAAATGAGGACAAGTTATTGCCAAAGACGAGAGCCTAAACCAAACTAAACTCTGTCCTAAGCTAATGCTATTTAAAAAAAAAAAAAAAAAGGAAACTAATGAAGCCGACTGGTGATAAACCAAGTAACACGTGTTATTAAACGATATTGAGGGTAACAGAGAGCTCTGCAGCAAAAACAAATGCCATAGAGTAGGAATCTTCTTCCTTTAGTGAAGGAATCTTTAAACTTTTAGCTCAAGACAAACATTCAGAGGCTCGTGAAGGTTGGAGCCCAGAGTCCTTCTGACTTGGTGCTTCTTACCTGGTTAAAGATTAAACACAGAGTGCCTCCGTGCTGCTTAATTTTTGTTTTTAATACACAGCTCTGCAAACCCTTTAGACAGTCGCACACCCACACAGGCTGGAACACATACTGACAACAAGCCCCATCTGCCTCGCAAAGCCAAAGTACGCAAACTGCCGGCTTTGCACCTTCCCGAGGTGTCACCTCTCCAGACTCTTATTTTTATCTGCCCGGCTTTAAAGGAATGCAAGGCGATCAGCTTCCATCATCAAACGGCTTCAGAGCAACATTTTGAGTTTCTCGTAGGCTACAGAACACACACTGTGTGTGTGTGTGTGTGTGTGTGTGTGTGTGTGTGTGTGTGTGTGTGTGTGTGTGTGTACAGGCTGCTCCTCGCTCTGCCATCTGCCGAAGAACTGAAAGTGTGTTAATCACTAGAACATTTTGCAACAGCGTCAGCAGTAAAAACAGCACATGACTGGAAAAACAAACCCGAGCCCTTTGGTTTCCAAAAACGCCAAACTCAGAGCTTATCTGGGATCCTTTAATTAAGACTTGACGTTTTACACGTGCACGCTCAAAAGAAGGGGATTGGAGTGCGCTCAGAAAGGCCTGCTTCCAACCCTGCTCGTGGTTGGCCGTCATGAAGGTGTCCGATAGAAAGTAAATTTACGTGTTAGGTTAATTTAGTCAGAATAACTTGAGTGTTTTTCGTAGAACTGGCACACACTCATCGCTAACCTGTGTCTGTACCGGAGTTGTAGCCACGGAAACCCTCAGAGCAGCACAGCGTCGTTCACGTGGACTTGTTTTGATAAAGTTAAAAGAAATCGTTGGAGGGCTGAGAAGAAAAGACTAAATGACTCATCTGCAGCTCTCGGTTCACGTCACGCTTTGAAAGGACAGTAAAATAGTTGAACTAATGGAGGAGTCATAGCACTTTATACATGTTACACTCAGTTGATATCAGATTAAACACTTTGGGGAAAAAAACGAACAAACGGCATTTAGACCTGTGTCCACAGACATACGCAGCTTTGAGTGTGGGGCCTTTAAGGACCTTCAGCAGTCCTCTGGAGGCCTCGCTCGTTCTGTGTGTTTGATCGTCTCTCTTTATTTTTAATTTGTCAAATAAAGTCTGAATCATAAGCTGAAGTAACTGAAACGGCCTCCATTCCAGATTTGCTACCAATCAACCTTGAATCAAAAGCCGCAGAAGCTGATATTATGTGATGCTACGGCGTGAAGCAATTTCCTGTTTGCTCAGAGGGGAAAGTGAAGCATTGTGAGTTATGTGCCACGGCAGAAGTGACACAAATAACCGGGGGTGCTAATAACCAAACAGCATGAATTGTCCTGGAAGTGGCTCCAGACCCATTTTGATTCTCTTGAAGAATTACAGCTGCTGGCGAATGACTGTTTGATGTGAGAGCTGGCTGCTGTTCCAGGTGTGTGTGTGTGTGTGTGTGTGTGTGTGTGTGACCTGCTTTTATTGCGTAACGGTGTTTTTTGAAATGGTGTAATCTTTGGGTGCATCATCATTGTGCCGAGGTGTCTGTGAAGTTCAGCGGTAAAGTGAATGTAGGGCATATAGAGTGTGTGTGTGTGTGTGCGGTGGGGGGGCTTTCTTTTTTCAAATTTAAAGAAATAAAATGAGGGGGAATTATTTGGCAAGCAGATGTTTAAGCTGCTTAAGTTTTAGCATTCGGTTTCAAGAACACATCGTGCAGAACCACGCGGTGTCTCATTCCTTCGAGTCCGGCTCAGAGAACTTTGGAGCTGGAAGTTGGCAGAAAAGTTTCAGTTTAACCAACATGTTCTCGTCTAGTTGTTAAAAACTCTGTGTTTTCCACAACAGGTTTCAAAAGCAAAGCCTCACCTTGAAACCCTCAAGTTTCTTGTCAGTTTATTTTTACTGATTATAATAGAAATAGTCACAAACTGCGGCGTAAATTTCCTTCAGTTGAAATTCTAATGAACCTAACGTCAGTATTGGGTGTGGCCACCTTTAACCTTCGGCACAGCCTGAACTCTCTGTGGCAACTTTCCTATCGTAGTCTTCAGGAATAGTTTCAGTAACGTTGAGGTCGGGCTTGTGTGTGTGTGTGTTTGTATCCAGGTGTGCTTTAATGCATTGGCTGTGTGTTTGGGTTCATTGTCATGGTGACAATGAAGCTGCTGCCAGAGTTATTATAGTTTTGTATTTTTTTTTAATTAGTTGTTGTTGTTTTTATGATTATTACTATTTTTCAGTTTTTAATTCACTTTACTGGCTTCAGACAAGGTTCTGTATGAAGGTCTTTTCTTTTCCCCCCTCCAGACATATAAAGACTGACATTTTATGTATATATTTATTAGAGGTGGGAATCACCATACATCCCACGATACGATATTATCACAATACTTAACGCACGATACGATATTATTGCAATTTTTAAAAATATTTTGCGATATTCAGATTCTGTACATAAAGGTAAACTTTATCAATATTCATTTTATCTAATATCAAAGTCTCACACTCAGTCTTTCTCTCATTTCAGTTTTATTGTTGACAAACTGAACGGTTTGTATTACAGTCTAGTCCAACTTAACTGAATCAACCATCTGGTACAATTATAGCTATTCTGAACTATGCAGTTTATGAAAACTATGCAGCCCCTTCAGCAACTGAAGAATTTGAAAGTAAATTAAAACAAAATATAATTTTACATTAAATAAAAAAGTTTTAAACTTAATTAAAATAAAACATGTCTTAAATTAAAATAAGTAAACTGTCATGTTTATTGCTGCCATAAAAAAGTTAAACACATTTGGACAGTGAAGGAATGTCAGGATTCTTGCTCAGAAAAAGGATCAACATGCTCTGAAGTCAGAGCACAAAAACCTTTTTTGTAACAAAATATCGATTTCTGCTGTCCCTGTATCCATACATTATTAGCAAACAAAATATCACCATACTACACAGTATCCATTTTTTCCCCCACCCCTAATATTTATCTTCTTTTCATTATTTTTATAAGTCTAGTTTTTATCTGTTATTTCAGTCAGCAAAGATGTTTTTTTGCCTGTATTTTCATTGTTGTTCTAGTTATTTGTGCAGCTTTTCCTCTTTCAAATATTAAAGTTTAGTCCATTTGATTTGATCTTTAATACACATTTGCTTGTGAGAACTGGAACTGGACCAGCATAAAAATGACCAGTACCTTCAGTGACTTTGATGCACTGACTCTGACTCTGTTTTCATTCTCAGGAAAGTCCAAGCAGAGCTTGTTGTCCTCGTCGTCAGAGAACCAGCACAGCTACACGTGGTACCAAAACGTTTCTGAGAGCGACAAGAAGCCCCTGGCCCAGACCACCACCCTGAAGACCGGCTCCAAGGCAGAATCCACCTATGACTCGTGGGATGTTATAATGGGCCTCCGGCCACCTTCTCCCACACAGGAACCCCGCAACCCCGCCCCTACTCTGTCATGGGCGTCGGCGGGCGTCACGACGGCAGGCGGCTGTGAGCCGGTGCAAACCCGGCACGAGAAGATCCCCTCTCCTCCACAGCTGCTCCTCAGCGACAGCGAGGACCTGCAGGGCAACCCTGACCTCACTGAGACGTCGGATTACTCCCAGATGTCGACCTCATCGTCACTTGAAAGGAACTCGAACTGTCGGACATACAGGAGGCCCAACAAACAGGGCAAAGCCTCAGACTCCAGCAGCTTCGCAGCCACTGTTTTTGGCTCAGATCTTCCCAAATCCGCATCTGACAGCAATAACAAAACGACAGGCGGCAGAGGGAGCCGGGGCAGGACGAGGGACTACACAGTGTTGCACCCATCCTCCATATCTATGTGTAACGTCACCATCCAGGACCGAGTGGTGGAGGAGTTTGGGACTGATGCAGCACCCTCTTGTGGTAGCGGTAGCGCCGGTTCAGGCAGCACGACGCAGCTGGGAGAGGCCGGATGGCAGCGGAAGAAGCCGGAACAACAGAATACAAGGTTGGTCAACGGGCAGCGGCGGTCCTTGTGTGTCAGGGTGTTCCACAGTGTGATGTGTAACTGCCTACACCTGCTGATATCCCACAAGAACTACAAGAAGTCTAAATTATCCCAGTTTTTCCCATATATAGACTTATTTTCCATCTAACAGATCGACCTCATTCCTCAGACAAACAACTCGCTCTCTTTTTCTTTTCTTTTTTAAGTAACTGAGTTGTGCGTCATCTGGTGATGGACACAAAGCTCAATGATCATTCTCTTTAGTCCACATCCACAGCAGACCTGTAGAAAGTGATTCAGTAGGTCCATAAACAGAACTTGGATGCTGAACATGCCAGCATGAAGCACCCAGAGTACTTCATTTGAAATTGCAGCCACTAAAAGCATATTTTGAGTTTTAATATTTTATATCAAACTGCTTAATAAAACATTTGTAACAGACTTGGAGAGAAAATACAGATTTAAATCAGACTGTTTCAAAGTAGTTTATTATAACAAGCAAAAAGCCATTTAATATCAGGTTTGACACGTTTGAGAGGAGAAAAACATAAAGAAAATACATAAAAATGTATGTAGGTAGTTGTTTATGCTGCGTGACTTCTCACAGGCACGGGGACATATTATTCAGTGAAAACCATCTATGATGCCTTTCATTTCACACGTTTTACATCTTTACCATATTCCCGTCTCAGCGCGAGGCCGTGCGCCTCTTTGGTCTCATTTCAGTTGCTGAGACTTCATTTACTTCCACTCCACTGTAATATTTTGGCAGTTAAGCGTAACGCCCTTTGTTTTGCCAAGAAGAACGAGCGCTCTGTGATTTTATTTAATTTTTTCATTTGAATTAAATGACCTTGGTCACGGATAAAAGTCGCAGGTTTTTTCTTTTAAAATGCTGCAAGAAATCAAATTTAAATTGAATTTGCTTTCATTACCTGAGCTGAAAACGATACATTTTATGAGGGAAAGTGTTAATTAGAATATTGTAGTTTGCCATTTCATGTTTGTGCTAATCATGAAACACATTAGACTGGAGCCTGAAATGAAAAATCCTCTCCACGAGTATACGTTTACACATTAACATTCAGTTTTAATTAAGTCGTCTCAGCAGAATATTAACGCCGTTCCTCTGGATGTCCTCTCCGCAGGTTCAGGCAGACCCAGACCAAGTCGAAGAAGGACAGTAAGCTGGACCTGTTCGGCTTTGAGGACTCGGAGGCCCAGCAGGAGGAGAACAGTAGCGACAGCGCGGACGGCCGGTCCAGTTACAAAATCAAATACTTCGGTTTTGACGACATGAGCGACAGCGACGGCGCCGAAGACGACGACGGCAGAGCTAAGGAGAGGAGGAGGGCCAAAAAGAAGGCCGCCATCACCACAGCGACCCCGGTGGTCACCATAGAGGAAATGCCAGCTGATGACCCGCCAGATCCGTTTGAAAGGCTGGAGGTCCAGGAGATGCTGGAGGTCCAGGAAAGGCCGGCAGTCAAGGAGAGCAAGAAGAACTCTGAGAAGCAGGAGAGCAGGATACGAACAGGTTAAAACACCAACACTGTCTGACTGATAAGTGATGTAGTGATGATCTAGTGAAACCACCTTTGTACAAAATCAGCCAAAGAGCCGTGTGCAAAGTGTTACAGTAACATGAGCAGGCTTGTTGCTTTAATCCTGTGCATATCATCCAATTAATTAAGGAAGGACTGAGCTGACGCGTGTATCAAATAACATTCTGATCCCAACTCGCCGACCTGGATCAGGTTATGGACCTCTCCTTCAGTTTGACCTCTCCTTCAAGGTCAATACACTGATCTGCAGGTCAAAGTGATGATAATGATTTATAGAGCTACTTAAAAAGCATTCTCCGAGTGCTTCTTGTTTTTTCATATTTAAAATTTCTGATTTAAGTATAATCTGTGGTAACGTGAGCCAACTAGGGCTGCCACAAACGATTATTTTGATAGTCGACTAGTCACCGATTATTTTTGCGATTAGTCGACTAATCAGATCATCATCCATTGGACGTAAAAC